GTGCCGGGGGTGGTGGGGCTGGTGGGGAGTGTGGAGTGGACAAAGGAGTCACGGAGAGAGTGGTCCCTCTGCAAAGCAGACAAGGGTGGGGAGGGAAAAATGCCCACCCTAAGGTTGCAGGAACAGCACCACCTATTTTGCTTGGGAACCCTGCAGCCCAATGGTATCAATGTGGACTTCACAAGCTTCAAAATCTCCCCTCACCCCACCACATCCCAAAACCAGCCCAGCTTGTCTCTGCCTTCCTAACCTGTCCTTCCTCCCACTATCCCCTCCTCCCACCTCAAGCCCCACCCCCATCTCCCACCTACCAGCCTCATCCCGCCCCCTTGACCTGTCCGTCCTCCCTGGACTGACCTATCCCCCCCCTAATTCCCCACCTACACTCGCCTTTACTGGCTCCACCCCCACCTCTTTGATCTGTCTGTCTCTTCTCCACCTATCTTCTCCTTTATCCATCTACTATCCGCCTCTCCCTCTCTCCCTATTTATTTCAGAATCCCCTGCCTTCCCCCCATTTCTAAAGAAGGGTCTAGATCCGAAACGTCAGCTTTCCTGCTCCTCTGATGCTGTTTGGCCTGCTGTGTTCATCCAGCTCTACACCTTGTTACGCTCAGAGATGTTATGTTATACCTTTGGGGCAGGTGAGACTTAAACCTGGAACTACTGGGTTAAATGTAAAGACACTACCACTGCAATACAAGAGGCCCATTAGTGATATTTTAACCCAGTCAACTTATTACTGCCTTCAGTTGGCTACATATGATGAAAACTGCCCTCCCGTATTTGCAGGGACTCTATAAACATGCAAGTTAAAGTAAAAAAATGACAAATGAACTGTGTATGCTGGAAATCAGAAACAAAAACAAAAATGGAAATGGCTGGAAAAACTCAGCAGGTCTGGCAGTATCTGTGGAGAAAAGTCAGAGTTAACATTTCAGGTGTAGTGATCCTTCTCCAGAACAGGTCTGGATATTCTACCGGGGGCTGTGAGGAATTGGAAAGAGATACTCTTCCTACCAATAGGACAAAGAAGTCTCCAGTGGAGATCAAGAGGGTGTGGTTAGAGGTTACAGGCAAGGCAGCAGGAACATAGTGTCACAATCCAGGATTTGGGAGCTGGTGTAATGACCTCAGCAGGTTAGGAAAGGTGAATGCAGTGAGACATTAGCCTTGCTGTGCACATCACCTCACCCACTCACGCATGGTTTGTCAAGTCTACGCCAGCTCATCTCTCCTCACACCCACTTTGTTTGCAGGCCACTCTTTCTTGATGCTACCTGCCACCCTGTCAAACCTCCCGCCACTAACACTCACCCTCAACCTTTTGTAATATCTTGCTATAGTTGGCCTCAATGAATTGCACTCCACTGGATAAACACTTTTTTTTACATTCTTTGCAGGAGAGTGCTGAATGTCAGGCACAACGTGGCAGACTTGGCGGGGGAGGGGGCCAGGGAAGTCCTCTCTAGATCACACAGTCAACAAGTGCAGGGGAGGAAGTCTTGTAAGTAAGTGGAGTTTCAGCATCCCGAGCCATTGCAGATAAGGACATTAGGAATTCCAGCTACTCTGATACAGTCAAATGAAACCTACCCACATGCTTTGTGGTACTCAATCATTCTGACTTGATTTCAACAGCAAGCAGGTCAGCAGGTTAAAGCCAGTTTCCTGATACTCTGCCGATCTTGCCAGGTTTAATCCTCCATCTGCATCCAGGCTCAAGACTTTTCCTTCAACAGCATTTTGAGCACTGATTTGAAAAGAGAAAGAGTCCTGTCAGCAAACAAAAGGAAGATGAAAGGGACTTTCCATTGAGTGCTATAAATCAATTCATTATTTTGAAATTTCTGTTAGAAATAACAGGAAAGACAGCTGCTGCTTACCTGGCTTTCACTGTCAAGATTTAATTTACGAAAGACTGTACAGTTTAATTCGTCAATGGAAAATATTTCAAATATATGCATTCCCAGAAAAAGAAACAAATGAAAATTTGTTTTCTAGTTGTTCTGGATTCATTTGGAAGGAAGGAAGAAGGAAATCCTGTTAAAGATTGTCCCATTTTTAGCTATTACTCCTTTACATTTCTTATCTTGAGTACAAATAACCACATCCATGCTGAGCCCTCACTCTTTACATATTGGAGTGCGTCTTTATGTATCGATATCTGCAGAGGTACTGAGGCCCGGAATTTCAAAAGCATGAACAGGTTGATAGAGTCAATAGGGCTAGACTGTTTCTGATCACAGAAAGAACAAGAACAGCACAGTATAGATTTAAAGTGATCTGCAAACGAAGCAAGGGGGAAGTGAGGAAATACAGTTTTGCTCAGCAGGTAGTTAGGGTATCGAATGCACTGCTTGGAAATGTGGTGGAGGCAGCTTGATTTGAGGAGTTCAAGAGGGCATTGGATGATTATTTGGATACAAACAGCAGATTGGCGCTAGGTAATGGTTTCATTTAATGAGCAAGTTCAGACATGATGGACTCAATGACCTCCATCAGTACGCTGACACTTTGTAATTTGGCTCATTGGATGTGTATTTAATTGTCATGATTTCAGCCACTGATAAAAACAATAGAACACAGGAACCCTGCATTTAGATGATTTGTACTAAATCTACGCTGCTCATGTAACACTATTTGTACATAAAAATCCCTCTACTGGACAGATGCAGTCTTGGCTCCCATGATCAGCAAAGGGAAACTACTTGCAGACCATACGCCAGAGATGGTGCCTGTCACTGCCTTGTACAGGAGGAGAGGCAGCACTGTGGGTGGCCAGGGACTCCACTGTGCAAAGAAGCAGCCAAGCAATTACAGGAAGGCTGTGGTCTGATCTGGTACAAAATCCCCTTGTGTCAAACATTTCTCATTGTAACAAAGTGATTTATTTGTTCGCTGCACTGAACCCAACAGTTATTCACTAAGGTGTGCCAAACAGTTCAGGTTCAGCGAATTGCAACTTGAAAATGATCTTGGAGCCCACCTTGCTTATTAACAAACCCCTAATGGAGCATAACAGGCTGTTAATTGGAAGCTACCCATCTCCCCTACTGCCACCCTCACTTCGAAATATCAAGCACATCCCAGGGACATCCCATGCCATTGGGAATACTTTTCTCAAAATACATCAAATAATTTTCTCACCTCTATGAGTACTTGAATATCCTGCCCCAGGTTATTAATATCAAAGCAGATTTTAACAGTTAGCAAAATAATCTATTTCTGTCCAAAAATAGACAAAGGGGGTGACCATGGGTACCCGCATGGGCCCAAGCTATGCCTGCCTCTTTGTAGGTTACGTGGAACAATCCCTCTTCTGTAGCAACACTGGCCCTAAACCCCACCTCTTCCTCCGTTACATTGATGACTGAATCGGCGCCGCCTCGTGCTCCCATGAGGAGCTGGAACAGTTCATCCACTTCACCAACACCTTCCACCCCAACCTTAAGTTCACCTGGACCATCTCTAATACCTCTTTCTCCTTCCTGGAACTCTCTGTTTCCATCTCTGGCAACCACCTAGAAACCGATATCCATTTCAAGTTCACCGAATACCACAGCTACCTAGAATACACCTCCTCCCACCCACCTTCCTGCAAAAATGCCATCCCCTATTCCCAATTCCTTCACCTCCACCGCATCTGCTCCCAGAATGAGGCATTCCACTCCCGTACATCTCAGATGTCCTCGTTTTTCAAGGACCGCAACTTCCCCCCCTCAGTGGTCGAGAACGCCCTCGACCGTGTCTCCCACATTTCCCGCAACTCATCCCTCACACCCCCTCCACGCAATAACAACCAAAACAGAATCCCCCTCGTCCTCACGTACCACCCCACCAACCTCCGGATCCAACGCATCATCCTCCGACACTTCTGCCATCTGCAATCCGACCCCACCACCAAAGACATTTTTCCCTCCCCACCCTTATCTGCTTTCCGGAGGGACCACTCTCTCCGTGACTCCCTTGTCCGCTCCACACTCCCCTCCAGCCCCACCACACCCGGCACTTTTCCCTGCAACCGCAGGAAGTGCTACACCTGCCCCTACACCTCCCCCCTCACCCCCATCCCAGGCCTGAAGAAGACTTTCCACATCAAGCAGATGTTCACCTGCACATCTGCTAATGTGGTATACTGCATCCGCTGTTCCCGTTGTGGCCTCCTCTACATCGGGGAAACCAAGTGGAGGCTTAGGGACCGCTTTGCAGAACACCTACGCTCAGTTCGCACCAAACAACTGCACCTCCCAGTCGCGAACCATTTCAACTCCCCCTCCCATTCCTCAGACGACATGTCCATCCTGGGCCTCCTGCAGTGCCACAACGATGCCACCTGAAGGTTGCAGGCACGGCACCTCATATTTCGCTTGGGAACCCTGCAGCCCAATGATATCAATGTGGACCACAAGCTTCAAAATCTCCCCTGCCCCAAACCACATCCCAAAACCAGCCCAGCTCGTCCCCGCCTCCCTAACCTGTCCTTCCTCCCACCTATGCCCTCCTCCCACCTCAAGCCCCACCCCCACCTCCTACCTACCAGCCTCATCCCGCCCCCTTGACCTGTCCGTCCTCCCTGGACTGACCTATCTCCTCCCTAACTCCCCACCTACACTCACCTTTACTGGCTCCATCCCCACCTCTTTGACCTGTCTGTCTCCTCTCCACCTATCTTCTCCTTTATCCATCTTCTATCCCCTTTCCCCTCTCTCCCTATTTATTTCAGAACGCCCTTCCCCTCCCCCATTTCTGATGAAGGGTCTAGACCTGAAACGTCAGCTTTCCTGCTCCTCTGATGCTGCTTGGCCTGCTGTGTTCATCCAGCTCTACACCTTGTTATCTCAGATTCTCCAGCATCTGCAGTTCCTACTATCTCTGAATTAATAAATGGCTTTGATTTTTACTAATACTCTTATTAATGTTGGATTTTAGATGATAAATTTGTACAGCATAGAAACAAACCATTCAGACTATCTAATGCTGACTGGCAATTGCCTCTTGAGCCTTCTCTCACTGTCCTGCTTCATGCACCTTTCCTTAAATCTTTCAATATCATCCCTTAACAATAACTTAATGTGAGTTTCTTTACTTTATTCCCCATTGGAATTTCCTGCCTTTTGTATGGCAGTCTTAGTAGAATTAGTGAGCTGAAGCTGCACAAATAGCACTCGCTCCACAACCAATGGCCAGTAACTTCCTTGGTATTACAATTGGCATCTAAAAGTTCGTTAAAGGTAGTGGTGGACACTGGTTGAATGAAAAGCTTGATACCATTGCAGTTTGAGAAAACTGAACATTCACAAGTATTGGATCTAAAACAGAAGTTGCTGGAAAAGCTTAGTAGGTCTGGCAGCATCTGTGAAGAAAAAATCAGAGTTAATGTTTCGGGTCCAGTGACCCCTCCTCAGATCTTTGATTTAGAGAGTCCTCAGTTCTTTTGGTTTTCACAAGTATTGGAGATTTATTTCGGTAATGTTTTCTCATCCCAGATCTCATTTGTTCAATAAGACGGAATGCACTTTGCTGCTTCTCAGAGTGACGCATGATTAACATCATAATATCACTGACGGGATGATTTAAAGGATGTGCACCAATAGCATTCCCGGTGGAAACACTGGAAAGAAGCAGAATGTGATTTCTGACTTCAGTAGAGGTTTTAGAAAACTAAATCAGATCTACTGTATTTGAATTGCACATTTGAGCTTATTCATCGAAATAAATCATGTAGTTTAATTTCCATTTGTGACTATAAGCTCTGCAAATTTGTTTCATTCTCAGTAATTGGCCTCCTTATGTTCTGTAAACCTCTACAAATAGTGTCATTAGTGGAGGTTGAAGAGGGGTGCAGAAGGAGATTGAAAACATGCTGCAGAACTTACACCAATTATCCTGAAGTTACTGCAGACAAGCAGGAAAATCCCCCAGCGAGTCCTTAAACTCTACTTGGCAGTGCAAAAAGGGTCATGGTTCAAAGTCTTTTACGAGGGATGACCTCAGCAACAATGGAGCACTCCTTGCAATTTCTGACTGAGTCAAGCTCCAGACCAGCTTTGAACTTTCATGACTCAGAGGCAAGTTGTCACAAACTGCGTCAACCTGTTGCTCAGGGAGGAATTTCTTTAAAATGCAAATACAGAAACCTCCTCTGCATTTAGTACAACATAACAGTAAGTTAGCAAAGTGATTGGAAAGGTAAAGCAGTAGCAGTGGGAAGCTGCTGGTGCCAAGATTTATTTTGCAGCTATGGAATAGATTTTCTCCTCTATTTATAGTTATATCTTGAACACCTTCTCTAACAGCGGGAAACAAGCAAGAATATAATGTGCCCTTCCATCAATCTATAAGGAATGTTACTGAGAAGTTATTCATATAGTTTCATATTATGTTCATTAAAAGATGAGATTCCTTCTCATTATTTCCTGAGCTTTCCAGCTCACACACCAATGCAACTTAAAGGTTGGATGACAGATGAAAAGATTAGCAACATTGCAATGACCTTTCCTATAATTGTCTCAGGTTTGGCTCTTATATTTTTCTTCCATCCCGGTAGAGAATTAATTTCCATTATACTATCCCTTGACTTATATACAGAAGATGGGAAATTGCATCAGGATTATGAACAAATATCTGTGATTCCTTAGTCTGTGGACATTACAGGTGCTGTAATGTGTGCACCTTTCAAAGTTGGTATCTGCCCATTTCAGGAGGTGATGGACAGTGTCCAAGTTGTACACCATTTCTGGCTTGGGCATT